AAAGGACCTCATTCAGTCTAGAGTTTTAGACAGCAGCCTGTGGAAAGAACTGCACTAAGGAGAGGAGTTTAAGGTCTTGGCCTTCTGGAGATGTCCGGCTGCTTATGCCAGAGACAGCTGGGAGAACCTCATACCACCTGAAAAATTGTCTGCTTGCTCTGATGATCTGGAACCCAGACTTTTCCCCTCCTACAAGACAGAAAGCTTCAGCTGCCTCAGGCAGGGAACATTATAACATTATGCAGTGCTGCGATACACATTTTACTATCCCATTTCCCCTCCTGGGAAGTGTCACCCTTCCCTGTGCAGGTCACTACTGGGTTGGCATCTCCGTGGCTCACCTGAAGATGTCCAGTGTCTTGTGCTCTAGCACCAAATTTGTGTTTCCGCTCAGGTCCAACTCCTGCAAGGCACCTGGCAGTGCCTCAGGGATTAGGATTTCAGTTAACTCATTGCAGCTCAAGTCCACAAACTGCAGTATCAAAAAAAGCACAATGACAAAGAAAATATTCTCTGTTCTCTCGTGTGATCAGTTCCTCCAGTGCTCCTTCCAAACATCATATGACCCCACTACTGATTGTATCCCAAAAACAGGTAATGAAAATGGGTCTGACCTATCAGTAGAAGAACAATTTATAAGCAGCAAATAGTTAAAACCTGCAATAGCCAGGACTGCAATACTGAAGGAATAGGTCACACTAAAGGTAACAGAAGGCCTATATATACAAACCTACCTAGCCATATAACACTCCCTACTGCCTCAAATGGTAAACCAGAAATACACCAAGTCAGAGACAGATGGTAAAGAGGAATGAGAGATGAGCCATCTTTGATCAACTCTGAAAGGTGACAGATCTAGAATGCATATTCTGTGCCCTCTTCTCGGGTTGATCAAGCGAAATGCTGGGATCTCCAGTTCCTCTCCTAGCAGTTACTCTTCAATCTCCAACCCAAACTTTCCCCTGATACCTCTTTACCTTCTCTATAAGAATACCTGAATACGAGGCAAATGCAGGATCTCTGGAAAGATGCTGATTTCATTAGAGTGTGCAATAAGTGTATGAAGTAGCTTGCAGTTTGCCACTGTTGTGGGAATTGTTTTCAGTTTGTTGCCACTCAGATTCAGCTCTTCCAAGTGCTCCAGCTTACCGAGTTTGCTGAAAGGGAAACAAAAGAATACTGTATCTTATAGGCAAGAACTTGTGACACTCTGAATCTGTTGATGAGGTATCCATAGACACTACCCTTTGAGATACATTTCTAATTTATTGATAGGCAACCGAGAGTCCTAAGAGATGCTCTAGTAAGAGCTCAGGGTCCCCAAGCTTGGCTTGGATTTATACAACAGACAGATCCCTTCAACCCTGACTTCTAAAGCACTAAAGCAGAAGACTGTAGTGTCTTAATTTTAAAACTGGCAAAAAAAGCTAAGCTGTGTCAGTGTACTTTGTAAGAATAAACAGATTTACATGGAAGTGGTTGTTTAGCCTGACCAATACCAGGAAGAATCATGGCAAAGCTTGCACAGATGCAATCAATACCGAATTAATTGTGCTGACATAATTAATAAACACCCTCCCCCCTTAGATTTTTGTGCTAATGTAACAGAATTTGCTGGGTTTTGTGAGACTACAAATTAAGCTGACATAGAAGTCTACCAGTATAACACTAGCTCTCTACTATATTCCAAAGAAAGTATATTTGATACCCCAAGAATGGATTGCAGAAGACACTGAAAAGTAATAATGAATTAAGAATTCAGTGTAAGTTCTTCTAGTAGGGCTCTTGGGGAGGCACTTTTGATTCAGTGACAGTCAATAGATCAGTGATAAATAACATACACACTCACCAAATTATACCTAGTAAAATTCACAGATAAAAAATATGGTGGAACCTCAGTTTCAACGTATAGTAATATGAACTATTTGGTAACATGAACTTACCTTAAGAGCACGTGATTTAAATTAGCTAAGTAATGTTATGCACATAGGAACTTGTACAAGAGAGGAAAACAATCCTCAGAGACATGGCTCTGAAAAAGGCTTGAGTCAGCTGAACAGGTACTCAGAACAGAACAGTGTATAAAGATGTCACCAGAAGGGGACTCAAGTAGATGCTCACAACCAACGTTATCTGCTTATGATTTTGCCATCATTTGTTTATTCAGTGTCAAAAAATAGAATCATAAGAATTCAGCTTCTCCACCCCTTTACCTGAGACAAACCCCTTCTACACTGCTCTGCACACAGCTCCCAGACAGAAGTATAACGGAGATGGAAAGAAGTATGACGTGCGTACAGTCTGGATTTATAGGGCAAGGAGTAGGGAAGTTACTTCAGCAGAAGGGAAGTTACAAGAAGCAGAAGTTACTTCAGCTGGAAGGAGGAGAGGCATCAAGCATAGGGCTGTAGAGAACTTTTGAGGAAAAAATGAGCAGTTCAGTTTGGGTAGGTCAAGCAGGAACTGCTGAAGATTCAGGAACAATGACTCAACTTCATGGAAGCAAGTAGGTGGAAAATGGAATTGAGTCGTTTCAGTCAGCATGGGAGGGTAGTCCTGCTTAGAAAGAGGCTGTGAAGGAAGAAGTACGAGCACTGAAGAGTGTTGAGGAGACCTGTTTTAAGAAAGTAAAAGCAAATGCTGACAAAGTGGTTCTTAAAGGTAGGGGAGGAATTAGAGACAATGCTATGGAGGATTATGTGATAATTTTGCAAAGCCTGCAGCTGAGAACATAAGGGATGAAGTAATGCATTTTACCCAGAGAAACATTACTTAGAATCATAGAATCACAGAATGGTTTGGGTTGGAAGGGACATTTAAAGATCATCTAGTCCAACCCCCCTGCCATGGACAGGGCCATCTTTCACTAGACCCAGTTGCTCAATGCCCCGCCCAACCTGGCCTTGAACACTTCCAGGGATGGGGCATCCACAGCTTCTCTGGGCAACCTGTTCCAGTGCCTCACCACCCTCACCGTAAAACATTTCTTCCTTATGTCCAATCTAAATCTACCCTCTTTCAGTTTAAAACCATCGCCCCTTGTCCTGTCGCTACAGGCCTTGGTAAAAAGTCTCTCTGCGCCTCTTAGAAGCCCCCTTTATATATTGAAAGGCCGCAAGGAGGTCTTCCCGGAGCCTTCTCTTCTCCAGGCTGAACAACCCCAACTCTCTCAGCCTGTCTTCACAGGAGAAGTATTCCAGCCACCGGACCATTTCCGTGGCCCTCCTCCGGACCTGCTGGAGTGCTGAGAGCAGCCTTCATATTTCTTTCACTCCTTGGGGATGTCTCTTGGATTTCTCTGCTCTCTTCCCACATTTCTGTCTGCCTTTCTCATGTGATACATTGGGTTTGTTTCTTTCCCTGGTGCACGGTGAGTACTTACGCCCAGCTGGGGTGATGGGAATACTAGTGGATTAATAGAAATCTCGAATTAAACAGCAGTGAGAGGGAAGCACGCTTCCTGAAGTCTGGCTGTTGAGATACTTGCAGGAGCCCAAGAGTTTTATGAGGGGAGAGGATGTGTTAGATTGGCTGGGAGAATGGGGGGAGGGCTTCCTCTCAATGGAAATCGCTTGGAGAATGGAGGCCAGTGACCCAGGCTGGATGGGGCGAGCTCAGAGACCAGATGTTAATGGGGTCTTCACATGCTTCAACAACAGATCAAATTGTTGATGGAATTCTTCTTGTTAGAAGAAGCTCTCCAGGGCCATCAAACTGTTCATCTATGTCAGGTGTGACAGGCTTGAATTGTAGAGGGTCACACACTTTCTCTGGTGGGGAATCGTCTTGATTCCTTGTATTGCTATAGCTGGACTTAGTGTAACTTGTAAGGTGCTGTTAGAGGTGCTAGCTCTGTCTATTGATGACCTGTATCCTTGCTCTCGATGGGAAAGCCTATGCTCGCCAATTGGAGCATGGAGTTAAGCATGATCACAGAGACATTCAAGGCCAAGCTCGGGAGCTGCAAAGAGTGACAGGAACTTGCTTATCCGTAGAGGTTAAGACCATTCTTACACGTAGCTTGAATGAATAGCTGGGATTCAGAGTAGAAGTCCTTTAACGTTGCCCCTGGATGTTTCCTTAGCACTAGGACATAGGTGTCACGGATGTTTCGGAGAGGACAGGGAAACTGGAGGATTGGTGTAGCGTCTTAGTAATATCTGGTGCTTGGAACAATGCTGCTGTGGCAGTCAGTAGGATACCACTTTTGGTCCCGTAATATTGTTTTCTTACAAGTCTGGGGCTGGTCTTTCAGCTTGGTGAAATCCAAGCAATTTTTTTCTGTGGATGATAAGAGTTTCTCACCATTAAAGGACATCTTATGCCAAACTTTCATGACCCTGAAACAAAGCTACTGTTGTAAATAAACAAACAGCTAAATATTTCAGCTAAATTCAGCCTGGTATAGACATCAAGACAATGCTTTAAACTTGGCAAGCTGAAGACCCTGCTTTCTAACTGAGAAACAGTATAACAACTTTAGTCAGTGGTTAACTTTTTGCTCCTAATGTAAGTTTGGAGTATGGTTTGTGTCTGGAAGCGGGGCATCCATAACCAACAGAGGGAATATTTTTCCAGCGGATCTAATTAGAGTTTTTGTCATTGTCTGGCATATATGTTGGCTACTCAGTTCCTGTGTCTGACTTCGGGGCGGGGGGGAATATAAATACCTGCAGGTTCATGCTGCTTATTGGTATCAGGACACTCGCAGGACAGTTCAAGACAGAAGCAGCATGTCAGTAGCAACTTCAAAAAAAAATGGATCCTTTCCTAAGTAAAACAAAGGACCCGTTGCCAGGATCTGTCTTAAGGATTGTTTAGGATAAAATGAAATATAAATTTAATATGAGGAGATTCTTAATAGTTGAAACTCATAAGTCCATCAGGTCAGGCTTATTCCTGTTCTTTAAAGCATTCAGTTAAGTGATTATTTGAAAATTTTTCTTAGCCAGTAAGATAGTATAAACAGTGGACAGAATCTC